TTCAAAATATATCTCAAAAACATTATAAATCCAAATATATATATATAATTCCTTTATAATATATTAATAATATTGGATTAAACAAATAAAACAAAAATACTTAAATATATCGTTTTTTGTTGTGAATGTATAATAGGTGTATTTTTTAAAGATATATCCTTTTAGGTAGATATCGCTAAAAATAATCAAACAATATATTCCTATTTATATTTATTCTATTCGATTGACACGAACATATTTTTAATCAATTCTCATCGATGGCTCAATAATTGCTCGATACCTTCCAGCCAGCATATCAACATGTAATTAAACATTCGAAACACCAACGCTTTGACTCAAATTACTCTCTCCGCACCTGGAATCAGGAGCTGCCAACAAGTCTTCTCGTTTTCCCTCCTTCACAGCCCATGTCAGAAGGTGCATCCGATAATTGAGACGACTCAACACAAACCCTTGGTAGGTGCAGTACGACAAGACCCAAGTCATGTTGTAAGCTAAGCATCGGCTTCTTGGATGGCTTGTAATTCTTCTTGTCATGTTTCGGTCCGTGAAAAACCGAAAAGCAAGACCTGAACGCTGCTGCAATGAGACCCCACCCTCCCTGATTGGTGGGGAAACCACCCTTCACTGAAAGACTTGGTATTGAAACATGTTGAAGCCAATGAAAGACCCAAAGAGGGACTTCTGTGCTCACTTCTCTTTGCTAATGCATCCCACAGAACGGTGCTCCTCCACCACCGTTCCTCCGTCCAGCACGACAATGCGATGAGCCCTGCGATGCTGAACTCACCAAAAGACCCCCAACTGTAACACAAGACCACGACATGGGGGACATGTTCTTTCAACATGCCATGCTTATATAACGTTTTTCTATTATATAAATACTGACAACACGAGATGGTAGAGACACTACTGCAATCAAACACCAGCACCTTGCAATGCCTTGCAAGGGGTGTCCAACGGAAGGCAAACAACAAGGGTGGAGGACTTCAGGAGCCACAACTTGGGAAGCTGAAGAGATCTACTCTGTCCTTATCACTCTGTTCCCGACAAGCCCTTGACAAGCATGATTTGGTTGAAGACCCTGGAACACCTCCCCGTGTTTGTCACTCTTTCACGAGTCTTCATGTTCCAGGAACCCACGCCATCCATTCCCTGACTCGCCCATCGCACCCGCCTTGCTACCGTGCGCAAGCGATGAGCAGCAACCTGGGTGAGCGGGGGGACCCGATGGTCAACCACCCTAAGGCCCAAGAGGAAAACGATTTGACTTCACGGAGATGGGCAACAACGTCCAATGTAGAATCTTGATTCATAAACCTTCCCATTGTAAAACCTCTTCAATCCTTTTCATATCTTTATATATGGGGCTTGAAATATGATCAATGATTCTACATTAGACATGGATCATGCCTATGAAATTGGGCTCCTTTGTTGACGACCATTGTCTCAAAAAAGTCCCGGTTTTGCTGCCATCATCTTGATCCGATTACATTTTGCTACCTGACCGATCACATCGCGTCGCAGCTTGCACCTGACTGAGGTGGAGGCCAAAACGGCATGCCCTTCGCTGGCCAATTGAGTCAAAGTGCTGGCAACGGCCTCCTAATGGGAGAGACTTGAGAGACCCAGGGTGAGACCCCGGTCGATTTCATTCAATTTGGATTCCGAAGAAAGACATTGGATATCATTGGATTGAATCAAAAGCAAGCAGTTTCCTTTTAGATAGGCGACTGGCGAGGCCATATGGCGGACTAAAAATACCAAAGCACAAACATGCGTAAAAGAACAATTCTGATTCCCAGGACAAAGGTTTTTTTGAGTCACGCTGATGAACGCTGATCCTCTTCCATCAGAATCCCATCTGTCTCGAGCTCCACAAGTAAATGAAAGAAACTGCACAAGAAGGCTCCCTGCATCCATAGTGGACAAAATACATCGAACAGAACCATGAGAGAAGCAAAATCTTCAATCAGGTTTCTCTTCCATCTTCGAATCCTTCAATGCTTGCGGTGTCTTCATGCGTCTTCATGTGTCTTGGTTTACAAGAGCGGACACAGTCCTCTGACTCCCCATCAAGAGCGGACGTGGGCTCATCCATCAGCAGCACAGGAGCTCCTGAGCCATCCAGGATGCCATCCTCTTGAAAACATGAGCAGAACACAGCAGACCACGCAGCCCTTTTAAATACAATGGAGGCCTTTTATTCTTCCATGACACAACCAGGACTTCATGTGGGGCGTGGACGTGGACGAACATCTCTTTGCGCCAATGTCCAAACACTAACACAACAGCCTTTCAATGCACCCCTCAAACCATGGTCGCTCCACTCCTCTTGCGATGGCTCTGGCGATCGCAAGCCTCAGAGTATCAGTTGAAGCACGTGGATCAGTTCTCACACTTTGAGTCTACACACCACAGTTTTATGAAGAACTCTTCACCATCAAGTCATAGAATGTTGTAGATACTCAATACTGCCTGATTTACAAGGTGACGTGGGTTATAGGTCTGTAACTGTTCACCTCCAGGTCTGACGTCGTTCGCGTTGCGTTGCCCTTGCAGCGAACACCGCGTCCAAAAACCGTCCTACTCCAGGACGTGTCCACTGCCCCACCTTCTTTATCCTGCTTTTGTTGCCCACACCGTTGCTCAACAAAACAAAACACAATGAAGCAAGTGTTTTGGTGAACAGCTTCAGAACAACCCACCATTCTGTGGCGCAACTTGAGGGTGCCAAACATGACGGGCCTAGAAGGCGGACGAACGAACGGTCACGCTCGTCGTCGGTCGGTCGGCGACCTGTCGAGGGCGGTGCCTGGCCTTTGTCGCTGACCGCCTGAGAGTGCAGAACCCCTCTCTCCCAGCAGCTTCTCTGCAGGTAACGCCTGGCAGAACTGGCTTTTCTTGACGAAAAACCGTAGCTTTTTTTGAACATCAAGTTTAAATCGCACTGTCCAATCTGTCCGCCTGTTCTTGTTTAGTGGTGAAATATGTGGAAATACCAATTCCCCAAAAAGGTTTCTGCAGGTGATCCCATTTTCCCGGGTTCTCTTTTTGCCCCGTCGTCTGGCGGAACCGCACTGGGAAACGTTCAGTTCGCACCTGGAACATAGTGCTCACCTACTTGTTTGGTGGAAAACACTGCCCAAACCACATCAAACCTCAGAGGAACATGGTTTTGATGGGGGGAATATGGGGGAATCTTAATCCCAAACTGGGCCTCCTCACTCCTCTGAAAAGCAGGCCAAATGCCGGCACTGACTCCTTGATGACTCTCAATGCCTTCGTCTTCGTCTTCAAGTGGCTTATAGTTCAATCATGTTCAAACCGTCAACAACACTAATAGATTCAAAAAAGAATTAGATCAACCAGGCATTTTCGGGTTCTGACATGTTGACATGTTCTGAGGAATGCGTTGGAGAACCTGATGGGAAGAGGTGCTAGTCACGAGGCACCGTGAGCGGACAAAAGCTTGAGGCATAATGAAACTACGCCTATACCGAGCGCCAGGCAAGGTGCCAAAAAGCTTCACCGCACTCTTGGCTCAGTCACCAATGAACATCTAGTTTGTCTCGAATCGCTTTTTTTTCCAGGCGACCAACGCCGCCGTGGTGTTTTCTGAAATCCATCGACCAAACCGACATCTCGGTCGACGTGCTTCGACGTGCTTCGACGCGTTTTCTCCGGACGAACCGGGCATGTTCGATGAAGGACAGAGGAGTCTGATCGGTCTGACGGTCTCGAATGACCGCCTCTACAAAAGAAGTTGCTTGTGCAGCTCCCAAAGCAGCCCTCACTCTTTCTGCCTGACAACTTCTGGAACGCGTTTGAACAAGCGAAGTGAGGAACAAAAGGAACAAACAACAGGTTCTTCATGGTTCTTCCCGAAGTTTGGTGCTGTTTTCATGGAGATCTCCCCAGTTTTCAGTTCTGCAGCTCTACCATGCCTTGCCTATAGTCCGTCCTGAATGATCTGAATGGTGAACCATTGACGACAAGTTGTGACAGTCATTTGTTTGTGAATCCCTTACATTAGGACTCAAGCTACACTCTAATGCGACACCCTAGATACCAACACCGAATTGTTTTTGAATTACACATCACTTCCATCCATGTTATGTAGAACAACAATGAAACATACCAAATCATACCAACGTGTTCAATTGGACAAGATCAGGAATCTCCAGTTCAGCCACGTTCGGGTCCCTTACCCTTAGGATCCCTTAGGAATTGCTTGGTCAAAACACATCAAAACACATCCTCCCTTGCTCCGTCACATCCCCCGTGCCTCTTCTTTGTCATTGGCAAAGTCACATCCTCTCCGTTCGGCACGGACGATCGATCACTTCAGCCACGAATTCCGCAGCAGGCTGATGCCAAACGCTGAGGCTTGGACCATAAGCCACGTTGTCCACCACGGTCCGATCAAATAGAGCTGGATCCTGAGAACCAGAAGAACCAGAGCTTGGCATGGTTCAGAACGAGCCGACATGTTGCTCGCAAGAAACACGACATCGATGCTGCTCGAACAAGAGAGACCGGTCATTATACCGTCATTGGGGGGTTTGGACCGACTATACTATCGCAAAAAACCGGTGATCCTGGTCGACGACTCCCAGGCAACGTCGCACGTCCTGGGCGGGTGGGTCGTACGAGCGAAGCGCACCCCGTGCGTGGCCGTCCGTGACCGGGTGTCTTTCGTGAGGATCGACTAGTCGGTTGTTGTGGGGAAGAGTCCATAGTCTTTTTCGATTTGAGCCCAGAAAGATTTGTTCAGATGTGTTCAGTATTTGTCAAATGAATACTGGTGGACGAGATAGTGTGGGAATGTGATGATAGGGAATGGCTCCGGTGAGGAAAACACCGGGCATGTCTTTTCAGCCCCCTACTCAAGTCGTGGCTGGACTCGCCAAAAGAACATGTGGAGAACTGGTGAAAGAACTAAGTCGTCGCGGCTGTGCACCCAATCTATGCTTATATCACCTGTTTTTATGGAATCTGCAGCAATTCTGCAGCAATTGGCACGGCGTGGTCTGTTAGAATGATCTTCCGCGATTCCGTAACATTTGTGCAGCAATGCTCTTTGGGTGATTCTAGCGATTCTGGTGGATTACAGTAAAGCACCTCGAAAAGCTGGTATGCTACCTACTATAGGTGCTAGTCATTTCGACTGATTGGAAACGGTTTGGTCATCTGAAGCGTGCGCAAATGTGTGCAGTGTCGGACAGTTTGCCCATATGCGCGCATTCCTTGGGCCTTCGCGCACACGTTTCTCACCCCGACTGAGTCAGTGCTTCAAACAGTGCTTCCAACAGCAACCCGACTTGGACGGTGTCAACGAGTCGCGAGTCGCGTGTCGCGTCCAACGGTCCTTGAGATCAATATCTCGAAGGTCATGCCCATCGATGCGCACGGAACCCTCCTGCGACGATGTGCGACGCCGCGACCCAGTCCACGGTGTCGTCCGGTGAGCAGAAGAGTGTCGGACGAACATGGAAGAAATATGAAGACATGGCCAAAGAACCGGACTATGTCCAGCTCTTGACTTGTTGACTTTGATTTTGGGAAGTCGGAGCACTCTCTTGAGACTCTGCGTTGCTTTGGAAAAATGGTGGCTCTCATCTACGTTGCCTTCTTTTTCACACCCACAATTCCGGTTGACATACATTTGGCACTCCAAATGTATGTATACACAAAGTAGGAGGCCATCGCTATTAGGTTGGAGGCGCTATCAGGTTGGAGGCCATCGCTACTAGGGTGGAGGCGGAGGTAAGATATTTAACAGAAAGGAGCGCTCTGAGCGGCGCGTTTTTGCATTGTTTCATTTTGTTTGTATTTTGTTTCTATATTTGTATTGCGTTTCTATTGATTTTTGTGCCACTGAAAGAATACTATTCTGCCTCAACCCCCCCCCTCCCCCAAAGGCAATTTCCAAAATTCCAATTTTCCAAAATTCCAATTTTCCAAAATTCCAATTTTCCAAAATTCCAATTTTCCAAAAAAACCAAAGAAACCAAAAAAACCAAAAAAAACAATTGTGCCAGGACTTTGCCTCACCCCCTCTTCCCCCCATGGTCTGTGCAGAATTGGTTTTTTTGGTTTTTTTGGTTTCTTTGGTTTTTTTGGAAAATTGGAATTTTGGAAAATTTGAATTTTGGATTTTTTGATTTCCTGGGATGTTTTAAATTTTCAATTTCCTTGGAAGTAGACAATGCTACCACTTTCTCTCATTTCCAGAACAGTCTCTGAAACCCTCAGTGATTTGTTCATTAGGGTCTAATAATGCTCCTTCTGCTCCTTTAACTCGAAAATTGGTAATACCTGACATTTTAGAATTATAACCAGTAAAATTGACATCTGCAATTTTTTCAAATGACATACCAATAATGAATTTGTTCTTTCTGTATTGACGATACGAAAAACTTAAACTGTCATGTACTGTATAGCTCTTCTTAAATAGTAAAAGATTTATGATAATGATTGCGCTTCAAATTCTGTGTATTTCTGGGAATTGCTTAATTGAATTTGCCAACTTAAACTACGGGTGGCATCTTGAAAACCTTTGTAACTTGTAAGTCATTTGTATCAGCATTACCAGTATCATTAATTCTTCCATAGATCATAGGATTAATTCCATCTCTTATATACATAATTGTCAGGTAAGTATCGGTTCAGTTCTTCACCACTCCTTGGAGTTCTAAATAAGGTAATGAATGCTCCAGTCAGTTTAGAAGATGATTTTACAATATTCATATTAATTTCACCACCACCAGCATTGAATGTTTGGGTGATTGTGTGATAACAATTTGTAATGTTTCTTATCTTTGCCATTCCGCCCCCTTCTATGTCCTGCCATTCTAACACTCAATGGCTGACAAGTAGCACCAATATAGACATCGTCATTTTGTCATTTAGTATTCTGTAAAATTTTGCCTTGGAGTAATCCACCATAACATTACATATTTTAACTAAGTTTAAATGTTGTTTTAAATGAGTGATTGGGGTTAAATCCATTGCTTATATTGGTGCCGGGATTGATGTTCCAAAGGCCGTTCCCTTCAAAATTGATATAGCTGTGGCTCATTAAAGGGTTAGGTTCTTTCAAATCAGAAGTTACAGCGTAACCATCCAACATTTAAACAATATCGGATGGATTGCGGTAGTCAAGTCTTTTGGGACTTTTGTTCCTTTCCTTTTTTTTTTTATTGTAGGGGTAGCATAGGTTGTTGTAGCAAATGTATTAGGTTGTTCTTGATTGATCTTATTACAGCACTTGCAAGGTTATGCCCAACCAAACGGGTTATTTCTGGTGACTTTTCCAATTCTTCTATAACATGTTTGTATTGCTCACTGTGATGAACATTTCTAGTAGGTACTAATAACAGATCATCCATAATATCCCTTGTTAAAGATCCATCACAACCACCTGTGCCACTTATGTATAAAGTCTTACTTGTTTTGTAAAAAGCACTTGGTGATGAATAGGCATTCCATAAGCCCCTGCGGTCTTCTATCTTCTCCTTGTTTGCTATATTTTTCTCTTCAGCATATAGTGTTCTATGTTGTTTAAAGTGATCATTTAAGTTTCTTGTAAAGTCATTCATTCTATCATTCCAATTTTGTTTTTTTTCATAATCACTGTAGGTTTCTTGACCGATCTTACTGAATAACATCTGGGCGCTTCCAGGCAGATCCTTCCAGGCAATGTCAGACACATCAATCATTCTCAAGAAAAAAAAATTAAAAAGGTTGAAAAATGCTCATTTTCATCGAAAAACGCGCCGCTCACAGCGCTCCCCTCTCATATTTAAACAGCAAAGGTAGCACCCCCGTCACCTCCACCATCCACTCTTCAGACTTTCGCATCCTCTCTGAAATCAGACCTCCGTTGGTCTCACCCGCCCTGCCGTGCTTGCCCACCTGTGGATCTGCTAGGCGGGCACACAACTTCAGCAGAGTGGACTTGCCGGCGCCACTCGCCTTACCCAAAACGGGTCTGGTCTGTTGAAATCAACAAGTTGAATTCTAATTTAATAAACAATATCTTTAATGCTCACTATATATTCAGTACACTGTCCAATTTTGTGATGATGATATCATATATGATCATGTTTCAATTGGTCCAACCGAAATGGGACGGCCCTAAAGATGAGGATCTCTGGTGTTGGGGTTCGGTTCATCATGATCCATCTGCAGGCTTCCAGGTTCGTTCGACTTCCATCGCTAGGTGAATACTTCCATTCTCGGAGCAGGTTTTGCTGACAATGCAAACCTTTTCATGTGGGGGGTGACATATAATCAAGAATCTACATTACTGTAGGAAGACTTTTGACAATCTCGAAATGTTCTGTCCTAAATCCAACAGAAAGACTGAGAAGCAAGGAACCACAAAATAGTACCTGCCTTTCGTTTCTGCCGAAAAACACACATATACAACTCATCTCAACAAACCGCCAAACTGACCAGCTTTGCAGTCCGAAAGTGACGAGCTCCGAGTAAGTGCAGCAAAGCTGCCCCAACCAAAGCCACCACTTCACCAGGCTTCACACCGAAGCTGACGTTCCTGATGGCCCAGCAATCCTGAAGAAGATCTGTTCCGGATGGCCCGGCTTGCTCGTCCGGATGCTTTGTAAGTGGAAGAGTCAGTGATGCTTTCTAAGAAGTGGAACATCACACTTCACCTTCATGATGATACGTAGTCGTACTCGAACTGATCATCTAGATGATGCTAGGAACTTTGCTACAAGTCCCAAAAGAGGCTGGGAAGCGGATCTCGGTTGTTTTTTGGGATGTTGGGATGAGTCACCTGGGGTCTTTGACAGTTTGTAACGAACCAAGTGGTCCAACTGGGTCTGACCCTGAATGTCTTCACTGTCATCCGCGGCTGGACAGTCCAGGCTCCTCTTCTGCTCCAGCATACCGAAATCCAACGCCATGGAGCTCCAGTTGACCACTGACCTCAGGAGCCACATGAAATTTCCGCCTCTGCTAGACAAGACATGCCATGAGCTTATTTGAAGTTCGTTCCAAATCGTGATTTCCGGAGCAAATTTCAGGGTCATCAGTCGGATCTCAGTAGGATCTCCAAGACCATCCATCCCTCCCTCCGTTCGAATCACGGTTCCGTGGAAAACGGCCTGTTAGAGGAAAACAGTCTTCGGTGCTGGGATCGTGTTCCGAGTCTCCAAGAAAGGTAGATACTGGAGACTGTATCCAAGGGGTTTGTTGGAGTCTAGCGGTCATGTTCCAAAGGACCTCAAGAGGATACTGTTCCACTTTCTTTCTCTAATCTACCTTCCAAAGACTAAAGTGTAACTACCTCGAGCTTCAAGAACCTATAAAATGATAGGTTCAATATGAAGACATCGTGTCTTTATCAGAATTCAAGAAAACATCGACTATTGAGAAAAAAAACATCGTGTTTTTTTGAAACCAGAGAAATCCCTATATAGATGCAGGATTTGTGATCATTTTTATCTCTTTCTATCCCTCCGTGCCGTCTACACGCAGGCTGATCTCTGCCCTTTGACGAGATTGCTGGCCTAACATGATCACCGCCGCCCAGGAACATGTGAAGTCACATTATACATGTTGGGCAGCAAAACATTTTTTACAATGGTTCTTTGATCCAAATCACTTCACATGTCCTGACCCTTGATTTATACACTGCCTCCTCATTGGAAACAAACGTGTATGCAACAGCTCACACCCTTCGATCCCAGCCCGTGGATCGCAGCAATGGACTTTTCCAAGCAAATGGAGCAGGCGTGATCTCCTGCGCAAAGATGTTTGAAGACGGAGTTGCTTGAAAGAAGTGTGCAAACATGCTTATACTGAGTGCGTCAAGTGTACCACGTGTACATTTTACAGAGAAGATGTGCATAATTGTGCATTTATATATGCAGGTGTGGGTGAGAGGGATTTAGAACGCGTGATGCCTGCCCTCCCCTTTCAAAGATTTTGGCCCAGAACGCGTGTCCAGTGCTTTTGATTTAAATAGGCAGTGCAATGTCGTCGGAGAGCCTGGACTCTACCAGAAAGCTTCCGCTGAATGATTTGGCGACTGAGTGGGAGGCCGAGAAGGTGATCAGGGACCACTTGAAAGGTGACAATGCTGTTTTGTTTCCTGAGAATGTATCGGAATCTGTCAAGGCAGCAGCCGAGCCTTACATCCACACCTTGCTTGTGCCTCTTTTGACGCGAATGTCATGCATCCCAGGGTCCCCACAGCCAGCAGTTGACCCCTTGAGGGAGCAGCTATCTTTGCTGTATCACAATTGCTCGAAAGCAAAGGGCGCGGACGATGAAGATGTAGTCCGCGATTCGTGGATGGTGCGCAAATTTCTCGGACTGGTCAAGATGAAGTGCAGGGTCGGCAAACCTTCTAATGTCATTTGGATGCAAAGTGAAACGAAACATTGTACATATACAGATTTTAGTTCATCATGCTTTATATCGCCGCTCTTGCAAATGGTTTCTAAGCTTAGCACCAAGCCATCTGCATGGAATATGTGTGCATGCTCTTTGTGCTTGCTCCATAAAGCCACAAAATAGACCTCACTGAATTGGTGAGTCCGAGGACCGGCGATTCCAGCAGCTCTGCTTGATTCTCAAGCCAGAGTTGGAGGAGTCAGCGTGCGCATTCTGTGTTCACACACGGACCCACATACTATATACAGCCACATCATTTTGTTTAAACTTATTGATAGCGGTGCAGTCCCATATCTATGAAGCAGGGTCTCCCATATATCAACACACGTGCACAGGAGATGATCGATGGGATCAACCGGAAGCAGGACGAGAAGCGCGCACGCCGATTGGCCATGAAGGAGACTTGGACTGTTTTCCATCGCCTTGATAAAACCTGTCTTCTAAAGCACGCTATGCAAGAAAGGCTTTATACATAAAGGCATAAATTTGTAATATTAAATCCCGGGCACCCACAACCGTCTATATATATGCAACATGAAATGGTCTCCAGCGCACGTCGCAGGCAACTTCGGCTGACGATGCTGACAATGACGCTGATGCATATGATTCCTCTTCTTCGAGTGAGGACTCTGACGTTGAAGTGGTTGAAGAGGTGGTAGGGGTGGACATACCAGATGTTCCCACAGCCTCAGCACCTGTCCCTGCTTCAGGGAATGTGGAAGTAGCGAAACCCAGTGAACCTTCTACGCCCGCCCCTGCCGCTGCCACAGATGTGGCTTCCGCCGCGGTTGCAGCCCCATCAAATCCGCCTTCTGTGAGCCACCAAGGTGTGAAGGGAAATTCGGGGGTGACAACTGACAACGTACAACCTTTATAAATTGGGGTTTCCAGGTCGATGCGTGTTCAACAAGTTTTCTCTGTGTATGCTATATATAGCGCTACGCCTCATTGTCAGTGGTTGATTGTTTATATATATATATAGTATATAGATAAGGCCTGACGAGTGCAACGAGGTGAGGAATGTAAACTGTATAGAAATTGTCCTGCAGCACGTTGACGTTATATAGTTCAATGTGATGGACTTAAAAAATTGTGCAAATGTGCGCCCACATTTGCGCAGCGTGTGTGGAGGTGACAACAACCAAGCGGAACAGCGAGAGAAAATTCTGAAGCGGCTGGCAGAGTTCAGGGCCCAGTCTTTTGTGTTTCCAAACAACTTTAAAGCGTATATGGAAGTCATGCGCAGGGTGTATAGTGTTTTGCTGTATCATGCACTGTGCCGGCTTTAGGTTTTCACGATTTGGATTCATAATTTTGTTGAGGATTCAATCCCAGAAGAAGGCCTTGGTTGAAAAAGCTGCCTTGCAGCCGGTCGACAAGTCCATCCCAGGCACGGAATATATGGGAAAAATGCCTTCTGGAATGACAAAGGTGCCCCAAACAAACTTATGGTGGTTCAGCCAGCCGTGGCATTATAGCATTTCTGATGTTCAAAATCACCACCCCAGCACTCATGCCTATATAGAACAAGTCCTGTACGCATGCATGCGCGTGAACCTTCTCATATATACCATGGTGTGGCAGGTCCCACTGGTCCCACTGGTTCAACCGTGGATGTGATGGAGACCCTTCCAATGGATTCTTTGGAGATTGAGGAAGCCGCTGCTGTGAATGCTGCTCCCCGAGCGGTTCCCTTGGTGGCATCACGTGGCCTGTCACCAGAAAGCCTTCGTGTTGAGTACCGCCGTTGCTCGGGAAAAGAGCCAGGTGAAGGGACAGCTACGGTTGTTGGAACTGCCCCGACACCCCCGATGACCTCTCCTCCCAATGCCACGGTGGCAGCTGCAGAAGTTGCCGCATCACCTCCGGCGCCGCTTCCAGAGAGGGTGTCTGAGGATGGGGTTATGAAGAACACAGGTAAAGTTTTGCTGTTCATGCGGACGCACACGGTCGTCCACACCCACACCTCCAACCATTCGCTTGCAGGCAATATAGCAAACAAAAGACATTAGGTTTACAAACTGGCCTAAATAGTATAGACTGACAGCAAATTCCTATATATCACACGATGAGTAATATGATGCATGCATGCATTCATATCTATGTGCCGGATACTTCGTGCAACATACTATAACGCACGCATATGTATGCATGAGCATGTTCTCGTAATTCACGCTGCACTCACAGATGCGTACCTTTTCCACCCTCAAGTTTGTATGTGGCTTTGACTTGACAGGCAGGCCATGCGCAAACACTATCATGCGTATATATATATACACATGGACACTTGCAAGACTTTATGTTTGCGCTTGCTTATAGACGACAGAAAAGAGACGTGGACAATAACTTATCAGTCCAAGTTGTCGTCTATCGCGTTGCCACTTGTATACATTCCCCTGTTTCCATGTCCTTTTTGACTCACGCTCCTCAGGAAGCGCAGCGCAAGGACGAGAACGGCACCATCCCAGCAGCACATGGCACCGTTGGCGCAGATGCAGAGGCAAGCGGCGGCAAGCATGCTGCATCCCACGAACCGGTAAAGACTGAAGCAGTTGGTGGCCAGAGTTCCAGCTCTCTCCTTCAGTCTGCTGAATTTGTGTCACGACATGAGCAGCTGAGCTTCAAGAAGGACAAAAAGGGCAAGAGGAAGAATGGAAAGGATACAAAGGCGAAAGCCAAGGGAAAGAAACGTGGCAAAAAGGCAAAGAAGGCACCAAGGAAGGGCAGGAAGACACGTGCTTCGGCTTCTTCATCTGGCCAGAAATCAGCTGGATCTTCCGCAACGAGGTCAAAGACATCCCGCAAGCGCCAGCTCCTGAAGAGGGCGTCTTCGAAGCTTGTGGAGGGCGACGGTGAGATGCATGAAGAGGAGGTTGAGGAGGCTCCAGTTGAGTCAGAGGCAAAGAAGGGACGTCGAGGCAAAGGTAGGAAGTCAGCCAAGGTTGAGCCAGCCCATGAGATGCCTTTGGAACCTGGCCAGTCTGAGGCTGAGGTGGAGGGTGTTCCGAAGCGGAAGCGGGGCAGGCAGCCTGCAGCAAAGTCAAAGGCGGACTCCAAGACGATCAAGCCCAAGGCGGCCGCCAAGAGCAAGGCCAAGGCCAAGGCCAGAGCGACCAGATCTCGACGCCAAAGCCCCATTGATGACATGCTGGAGAGCCCCTTGCGATGCAATACTGTCATCTCAGGCTTGATCGATTGGACTCAGCCGTTCGCCCCTGAGCTGGATACGCCCGGCCACGAAGAGGCGGTGAAAAAGTTGGTGCGAAGCAAGCTTGGACCTCTCAAGACTTGCAAGTTGAACATTTACTGGACGAGGAACGCATGCGGTGTGAGCGTCACGGAGGATGGCAAGAAGACGAAGGACATCAATCACTTCAGCTGGAATGGTAGCACAGCAGCCCCACGGCATAAGCTTGCTGTCGCGGTCCGTTGCGCTGAACTTGCAGCCCCTTGGCAGGAACACCTCAATATATAGACTATATAGGACATGAATATACACTTACACATGAGAATGGCAACGTTTTTGA